TGACAGTTGCAGAAGAGGAATCAGTCAGGAGCTTTTAACAGTTTAATTCATACGCTTTTATGAAGAAGTGGGTTTCTAACGATTTTTTGAAGTAGTGGAGACTGGGTGAGCATCTAACGGAGGAGGGAAGCGAGTTCCACAGAAATGGTGCAGCCCTCGAGAAATCTTGAAGGCGAGCATCAGAGGTGGGAGTATGAACAGAAGATAGACGTAAGTCTTCAGCAGATCGTAAGGGCCTAGACGGGACATACTTATGTATAAGGGAGGATAGATAGGTGGGAGCAGCATTATGTAGAGATTTGAAAGCAAGAACCAGAATTTTAAATTGAGCTCTATATTTTATAGGAAGCCAATGTAGGGACTGACAGAAGGGTGAGGCATGGGAGGTGCGGGCGGACAGGAAGATCAGCCTCGCCGCCGCATTCATTAATTGGCAAACTCCTGCAGGAGATCCTGCGAATCCACCATGTGGTGGAGGACGACAACCTAAAACCAGTAGACAAACTCACAAACAGCCCTAACGCCACCTTCCTGATACGATTCAGGTTTGCCCAGTTAAGGGACCACGTTAGCAAGATCTCACAACAATATGACATATTCAGAGACCTTACTTCATTTAAACTCATCTGCCAGGATCCTGACCCCTTGCCCCATGGCATTTCCTACCTATACACTACTCTCCAACAACAGCAGAAGCTCCCACCCCCCTAATTTTTCTCGAAATAGGAGCTAGCTTTAAAGGAGACATACACAGAAGCACAATGGTACAAAATATGTGACATGGTGCATCACCGTGCCATAGCCAGTTTGACCCAAGAAATGGCCTACAAGATCCTTTCTTGGTGGTATGTGACACCAGACCAACTCCAGAAAATAAACCCTGAAGTAGATGGGAAATGCTGAAGGTGCAATGGGCCACCGGGCTCCTTCCTTCACGTATGGTGGGAGTGCCCCATCATAGCAAGGTTCTGGATGCGCGTTGCCTCAATAGTTAATCAATTAACTGACAAACCACCTCCCTTTCATCCAGCCGCTTATATTCTCCACCACACAACACCCACATCTCAATACTAACAAACTTTGACTATTCATATTCTTTCAGTAGTCAAACATAGCTGAAAAGAGACTTGTGTCCATTAAGTTCAGCCTTCCTCACATATGTTTTTGCTGTTGATCCAAAAGAAGGCAAAAAAACTGTTTTGCAACAATCTAGGGAAAAATTCCTTCTTGACCCAAAAATAGCAGTCAGATGTCTCCTTGGATCAAGCAGCTATTACCCCACTAATTAGAAATTATAACCCTGTATGTTATGTTTTTACAAGTATCTATCCAATTGCAGTTTAAACATCTGTATTGAATCTGATAAAACCACCTCTTCAGGCAGAGAATTCCATATCCTTATTGCTCTTACTGTAAAAAAAACCTTTTCTTTGCCTTAGATGAAATCTCCTTTCTTCCAGCCTAAATGTGTGACCTCATGTCCTATGTATAGCCCTGTTTATGGATAGATTTCCAGATAATGGTTTGTACTGGCCCAAAATATATTTGTATAATGTTATCATATCCCCTCTGAGGCACCTTTTTTCCAAGCTAAAGAGATTTTAATTTTTTAACCTTTCTTCGTAACTAAAATGCTCCATTCCTTTTATCAATTTTGTAGCTCGTCTCTGTACTTTTTCTAGTGCCATGATATCCTTCTTTAGAACAGGTGCTCAAAATTGCACAGCATATTCAAGGTGTGGTCTTACCAACGATTTATAAAGAGGCAAAATTGTATTTTCATTCCGAGACTTTATGCCCCGATTTATACATGACAAAACCTTACTGGCCTTAGCAACTGCAGATTGACATTGCATATTGCTGCCTAATTTGTTGTCTATAACAATATCCTTGTCTATAACAAATCCTTCTCGTGTGTGGTTATCCCTAATTCACTACCATTTAGGGTGTAAGTTGCTTGTGCATTCTTGGCGCGGGAGTGCATAACTTTGCATTTCTCTTCATTAACTTTCATCTGCCATTTTAGTGCCCAGTCCCCCAATCTATCCATATAGAAACATCTCATAACCCTGCATTGGAAAAGGGACATAATGCCACCAATGTCACTTTGGTTCGCAAGGATGGAGGAACTGAGAGCATTGGAAGACTTATGGTTCACCGCACAGGACAGGATACAGGCTTATACAGACATCTGGACACCATGGCTGATCACAGCCCTGACCCACGAGTTTCACGACCAACACATCAAGGAACCAGCTGCAATATAAAGATTAGCACCAAGCAACAGGTTTGCTTGCCTGACCCTAGGGGGAAGGAGCCTTGACACACTGGAGGCAGGACACTGGGCACAGCCTCTCCCCATCCCTCCCTACCCACCCTTTTTTTCCTACTCACTCTCCTACATCACATTACCACACTTCCTTCCCGCTCTTCCCTGACCTCAACCCACCCCAGATCAATCAAGTTTCGGAACTGACTGGCATGCACGATAGATTCTACATGACTGAAGTCGTGAGCTCCCACGTTCTTCAACACCCATAAGTGCCCCCTACTGAGAAATCAGGAGAATGGAGGTAGAGGGCACGTGCCAGACCATGCATATCACGAGTAGTGAACATACTTCCAGGGGAAAGGTGGACATGGTACATACATAGGTCCCGGCCTTGACAGGCATGCTGTCAGCACTGATTATGGTTATTGTATTGTTATTCTACTACCACAGACCTGCGACATGCTTGTTATTTTCCATGATGAAAAAACAAACAAAAAAAACCCACAATAAAAAGATATTTACAAAAGAAAAAGATTGCCAAAGCTTCAGTGAATTTGTAGATCTAAAAGAGCTAAAGCCAACCGTATTTAGAGCATTTTAGTGCCAAAGGAGTGTGTTGGAGTGTGTGTGTTGAGACACGTCTATAACTGTTAACAGGAAGTTCTTCAAGTCCACAATGCCATTCTAATATGATCACATTTTAATAGAAAATGCAGGAAAGTACATATTTATATCTATATATAGATATATATAATATTGATTAAACAGACTAAAAGGTTCTCGTAAAGATGTTAGTTTGCCTGAGGCTGAACATATACTCAACAACAATACATTTCATACATGTTAGGTCAAACACTGCCCAGACACGTTTCTGCAATTCACCATGAAAGGAGGAGTTAGGTAATTTAAAACAGAACTACACAGAGAGGAGCTGTTTCCTTATAACATAACAATGAGGAAGTAGGAAAAAAAAAGTAAAAACTAAAATATGTTGAAGCCTTAAGGGTACTGCCACTAAACATATACTTAATAGGTGGATTCCAGGAATTCCACAAACAATTTCCAAACACCAATAGCTTATAGGATGGATATATATATATATATATATGTTATATGTAGATTGGATTAGATTGGAATATACATATATATATATATATATATATATATATATATATGTAAAATATTTGCTTATGTATGCAAGCCCTCTCTGAGCATTCAGCCAACAGCAGTTAACCATTTTTTTTTTTTTAAAAACATTGCATTTTACAGTTAATGCAATTTCACAATAATTCAGATTTCTAAGTTAGAAATCTTATGTCTGAGACAATTAACCACTGACCTTTGCCAATACTGTGGGCTATATCAAAGTAAATTGTTATATTGGCCATTTAATACACATTAAAATATAGTGAATTTAAAAATGATTTGCAAAATCTAGACTAAAATAGCCAAATTCCAACTGAGTTAATTTTTCCAATCAACTATTTTAGCCTAAATTGTGCAATAGTGGCTTCGGTTCACTAAAACGTAATGTTTACTAAATATATACTACAGAGTTTTGTTCACTAAATAACAAATTATGGAGAACTGACAAAAGAAATGCAAATTTTAGACCAAAATATGTCCCCAACTCAGCTACACTACAATGGGCAACTTCCCTTTCTTCTCAAATCATAATTTAGTGAATAACCCCCCTTTGTACACAATCAGTTGAGTGCTAAAGGTTGGGTATCACTGTTAATAACACATTGTCAGACAGCACAAACCAGCCAGACTCTGGACTGCAATTGAAACCGTAGTATGAAGGCGGGAGCTAAATGGGTGTGCCAGAGAATGAAAAGAGATCTTTAGAGAGTGAAAAGAATTGTAGGACTGGGTGATGGAAAAATAATACATGTACAAAACCAATTTTAGGCTAAAATAACTGAAGTGAGAACATATCTGATATGGAGGATTGTTCCAGTTCGGCTATTCTGGCCTAAAATGTTAATTTCTCTTTGAACTCCCAGCAATTCACACTTTAGTGAATAACCCTGCGCCAATGTCCATCTCATACTGTAATAATGATGGAAAGGCATGATTCATTGCCTTAGCATTCCTCTAGCATGTAAGCTCATTGAGCAGGGCCCTTAACGCCCTCTGTTCCTGTGTGTCCAACTTGCCTGGGTACAGTTACTTATCTGTTAGTCCAACCATTGTACAACGCTACAGCATTTATTGGCACTTTATGAATATAATAATAATTGCTTGGATTGAGGGCGATAACCTCTAACACTCTACCAAGTCACATTGCTTAAAGGCAGCTGTGAGCTGGATACCAATGACAGAGGATGCCTGTATCCCAGCTTCAGGGCTGCATCCCTTCCCCCCACAGATACACAGCTTGCCCCCCTCCAGAATCCATAATGCATGTTCAGACCTCCCTTCCCCCCACTGCATGCAATCCCCAGGTCCCACCTAGTATGTTAGTGTTGTACTACACATGGGTAACAGGGATGCACTGACAATATATAATATTAAATAATCTAACAGATGCCAATAGCTGGGTGACCAAGCACACTGTTAAGTGTGGAATTTGGAAGGTTTTACTAGTTTGGGTATTGAATGTGACCTATGGCTGCGGCACAGCACGGGTTAATCTGTGCACATTGTCAGAGAGAATGGGGAGGGGTCGAGATGTCGCATTGCATTATGGTCATAACGTTCACTCTATCCCCGTGTAGCACTACCCAGAGAAAGGGGGCGTGGCCCGCGTGTGACAGTGTGCGGCTCCCTAAGTTCTACCTCATTCGCTATAACCCCGCCCCGTGACCAATCGGCGGCCCGGCTTCTAGAACGCTCCTTATATGGTCAGAGCGCTGGGGAGCGCGCGGCATAAAACCGGCGCGAGTTGCAGAGCCTCCTGAGTGACCCGCCCGCTTAGCACACAGCAGTATCTGCAGCACAGCAACAACAGCCACTCCTCACGGTAAGATACAGAGCGCGCTTCCTCTCCCCCGCCCTTAGCATAGACCAGGGCCGTAGCCTTTCTCGCAGGCCTCATTTGTATTATCTTGTCAGGGGGGCAATTGTGGGATAGTGTGTGGAACTTTCTAAACTGTATGGGCTTTGTCATCCTTTTGTTCCCCTATTGCTGGACCCTAAAAGCCTGTGGGGGAAATAAAAAAATGTCTTATAAAAGTTTACACAACTGCTACAGCATTACAACTCCCCCCCGCTCAGCGTCACGGCTGGCCTCATGGGAGTCAAGGTTTCCTGTCAGTTTTGACTGCGGTCTGTGGCGAATACTATAGACTGTACAGTATATTACTGGATGGATGGTCAGCCATTTTGTATGTATTAGCTGCCTCTTGTAATCCAAGGTTGCTGTAATATCCTCTATTGACTTGGTGCTGGGACCCCTGATTTGCCTTTGTAATGACTTTCTGGGTGGGGGTCAGGCATGGGGTGTAGCCTGGAAGGCCTGTGTGAATAGGCTCTTGCTGTGTAGACTGAGAACCGTTAGTTTGGGCGGTTCCTCGTGACTAATGGGGATGGGATGTACTGCCATGCTTCTGTTCTTGCATGCTTTTCATAAGTGGAAACAGAATTGAGAGGCAAGCGTTAATATAATCAGTTGATGCCTATTTAAAAAACTTACATTGTGAAATCGTGACTGGCATTGTTCCAGTTGGCCATGCTCATAACTGCTGCGGGCGTGGGGCTGGGTTAGTGTAAAGTAAATGGTCACTAGATCATATCTTCATGCTACACACGTTGCAGTCTGTCCCCTGCCACTGGGTGTTTCTAGCATTATGGAGGAAATGGCTTAGTCATCTCTTAAGACATTGTATGGAATGCACAGAAATATCTGGGTTTGGCCGGTGGGCTGACTCGTGATGTGCTTGCCCACTTCCTCCCCCTCCCAGATGAGTATATACCCTCCCCCTCCCCTTGAAAATCTGGTTTGTTACCTTATTTGGTAAATCTGAGACTGGAGGGACTTCCCTTTGTCTCATTCTATAAAGAAATGGTGCAAACCCATACGCTATCTACTGGCGGCTGCTGGTAAGTGCAGCCATTGGACAGGAAGTGAATTGATGCGGTCTTTGCACTCACTGTGCAGGACTTTGGACTTATTTTAACGTATATATAATTTCAGATCACAATGGAAGACGATATTGCTGCCCTGGTTGTTGACAATGGTTCTGGTATGTGCAAAGCTGGCTTTGCCGGAGATGATGCTCCTCGTGCAGTATTTCCATCAATTGTGGGTCGCCCCAGACACCAGGTATGTACTGTGGCCACTGGTCTGGAATTTTTTTCTTTTTAATATAAAGTTCTGAGTGCATTAACTTTAATATGTAAGATTTAATGTTTTAGTTTTGCCATGAAGTTATAACAAACATTTAATAGAAGTGAACTTATCTTATGCCACACTCTACAGAACTTTAGTCTAAATATTTTTTTTTTTTTTACAACTCTTAACCTTATGTGCTTGCTTTAAATTACAAATAACATATTTAGTGACTTTATCTTGCTCCTGAAAACTTGTGAAAATCCAGATGCAGTCTTGGAAATTGAATTGTAGCTTTTATGTATTACATAAAACCCATAATGGCATGTAACACATTGTTTAGAATTCCATTTTAATCAGGTGTAGTGGCCACTAATTAAAAAAAGTTGTGGCCAAAACTTTCCACTTTCAACTGAGGCAGTTTCTGTAGATAATTTGTAAAGTGTTTATATAGTTATTTTTGTACAGAAGTCTCTTGGAAACTTTTTGAATAGTGAATCATTTGGAAAGATGAAACAAATCAGGGCATTACACTAGAGAACACTCACAATTATTGGATCAAAATTGTATGTATTATGGCTAGGCGTGGCTCACATGGTAGACATTTTCATGTAACCATAATATACAGCTCATCTGGACCTGCACGCTTTTTCCTGTACATCATGTACAGATTTGTTTTAACCTGTAAGTGTTCCCTTAACTGCAAATTGGCTCCTGTCCTCGAGGGAGCCCAGTCTGCCCCTCAAAAGGGACGGTCTTTGCTCTAGGGGCTAACTGAGCACTTAAGGTATGTTTACACATTATGATAAAGTAACAATTTCATTGTTTTTCAGGGTGTCATGGTTGGTATGGGACAAAAAGACAGCTATGTAGGAGACGAAGCTCAGAGCAAGAGAGGTATCTTGACCCTGAAATATCCAATTGAACATGGAATTGTCACCAACTGGGATGATATGGAGAAGATCTGGCATCACACATTCTACAATGAGCTGAGAGTTGCCCCAGAGGAGCACCCAGTGCTGTTGACTGAAGCCCCTCTGAACCCTAAAGCCAATCGTGAAAAGATGACACAGGTACCCATCCATCAAAAAAAATGTGTTCTGAAAGCTCTATATATTTTGGTTTATATAAAACTTGCTGTCCATTGCAGGGCTTCCTTTGATCTGGGTCACCTTTCCTGGAATTCTTACAGGTTTTATTTCTTTAACTCAATCTCTTGGTTTTCTTGCCTAACTGAAGATACTAACAACTGTGCAATTTGAATAGTTGGAGCTTTAATTCTAAAACTTGAATGGTTTGTATATGAGAGCTCACTGCCTGCCCTCTTCACACATTTGGCTTTGCCTGATTTTCTTTATTTTTTTTTAAAAAAAAAAAAAGCTTAAGGTTGTGGAGTGCAGTAAGTCACATCAGTTCTGCAACTGCACATGCATGGTTTGTGGCACTCTAGTGTTCTGAAATTCCCCTTCTAACTGCACCATCTTTTCCTGCAGATCATGTTCGAGACCTTCAACACACCAGCCATGTATGTTGCCATCCAGGCTGTGTTGTCTCTGTATGCCTCTGGACGTACCACTGGTATTGTGATGGACTCTGGTGATGGTGTCACACATACTGTGCCAATCTATGAAGGTTATGCTCTGCCTCATGCCATCCTGCGTCTTGACTTGGCTGGACGTGACCTGACAGACTACCTCATGAAGATCCTGACTGAAAGAGGCTACAGCTTTACAACCACTGCTGAGAGAGAAATTGTCCGTGACATTAAGGAGAAGCTCTGTTATGTTGCTCTTGACTTTGAGCAGGAGATGGCTACTGCTGCTTCCTCCTCTTCCCTGGAAAAGAGCTATGAGTTGCCTGACGGGCAGGTCATCACAATTGGTAACGAGAGATTCAGGTGCCCTGAAGCCTTATTCCAGCCTTCATTCCTTGGTAAGTTAAAAAAAAAAAAAATCAAAACAAAAAACAAAGCACTTTCTGTGATGTAAAATCAAACTAAAAATTCTTTTTATAAACTCCACTTTCAGGTATGGAGTCATGTGGCATTCATGAAACTACCTACAACTCAATCATGAAGTGTGATGTAGACATCCGTAAGGATCTCTATGCCAACACTGTCCTGTCTGGAGGTACCACCATGTACCCAGGAATTGCTGACAGAATGCAGAAAGAAATCACTGCTTTGGCTCCCAGCACTATGAAAATCAAGGTAAGTGTGCTGTAAAAAGCTTTTTTCTAAATAGAAACTCTGGCTCACTAAAAATGTATAGGCAGAACTGACATACATTCAGAGTTGTATCTCAATTAGCCATGCCAAAACAACATTCCTAACTGGCTAATGTCAACTATATGCAAACTGGCATCTGGTCCCTGACTGCACAGGCCCCTGAACTCTCCAGTTAAGGCTGTTGTAAACTAACAAATAGTTGGTTCAGGAACCAACCATGAAACATCCAGACTTTATTTGAAACCATACTACCAGACACCTTAAGAGCTACCTAAGGATCACAAACACTTCAAGTATAATTTGGTAAAGATCAATAACTATATAATCTCTTACAGATCATTGCCCCACCTGAGCGTAAATACTCTGTCTGGATTGGAGGATCCATCTTGGCTTCTCTGTCCACCTTCCAACAAATGTGGATCAGCAAGCAGGAATATGACGAATCTGGACCATCCATTGTCCACCGCAAATGTTTCTAAATGGACTAACCCATTTCAAACACCTGTGCAGGAAGATCACATTGGCATGGCTTTCCCCTACTTTTGTTGGCGCTTGGCTCAGGATTCAATAACTGGAATGCAGAGATGGCAAGCATAAACTACAATGCAACTGAGGACTGTACATTTCTTTTTTGTTTCTAGTCATTCCAAAAGTGTAATGCATTGTTTTGGAGGTAAATCTCCAGTTAATGCTGCCCAGCTGGTGAGAGCCCTTACAGAAATCATGGTGATCATATAGCTTGTATGTTCTGCTATGTACCCAAACATGTCTTTTGTATCTTCAGCCTTGAACATTTTGTAACTTGTTTGATCCAGCAATTGACTCCACTTAACATCTGGAAGGTTTACATAGTCATTGATCTCAGTAAGCTGTGAGGGGTTACCTGTGCACTTAACTGAAAATAAAAGTTACCATGTTTCACATCAAATCTGTCTAAAGGCTCTTAACATACACCTCAGATGCACTGGTATGGTGCTTGCTAGAATTCTGAATTAAGGTTTTGCTAAACAAGACCTGCATATAAAAAAATCCTTCACCCATGGAGGGCTTCGCGCAGACTGAGCTGGGCAGGATTATAAAGCCTTGCCCTGCAATTAGGTTAAGAACACGGATTGGTGGGTTTAAGCCAGAGTGCTTTGTCATTTTACACAGCATGGGAAAATTCCAAAGAACTTTCCCACAGTCTGTAAAATTACACAGCACTCTGGATGGCTTGAAATCACAGTGCTTTTATTTTTACACCCCATTATCACTATGGCTGCCACCCAGGGGTGGGGGAAGGACAGTAGGTCCCCCTCATTATCATTATGGCCCCACCTGCCGCCCAGGGGTGGGGGGCTGGGGTAGGACAATGGATTCCCCCTTGTTTAGAACCACCACGCAGGGGTGGGGGCCAGATAGTAGGTTTTTTGAGCAGCCACAGGCTGCCCACTGTCTAGTAGACATGCCCCTACTCACAGTATAGCGAGTAGGGGCATTGGGGAGATTTTAATCTCCTTTATGCTATTATGGGGGTCATATTCCTCCCCCTTAGAGTGAGGGAGGACATGGGGTGCTTATGAAGTGGCAGGGAGCACTCCTCCCTGCCACTTCTATCTTTACATATTACAAGGAGGGAGCTGCATGCCAGTAGCTCCCTCCTTGTAATAAACTGAACGGACAAACAAAGTGATTGTGTGGTTTTTTTTTTTTTTTTCTGATTGTATTAATAGATGAAATTCCCGTTTGCATGTCAAGTGTTTCACTGGGCATGTGCAGGAATATAACAGTCTATCTAGTGTGGGCAGATGACATGTCTCACAGGGACTTAAACCAGGTAAGGATTTTCAACTTTCTTTTTTTTTTTTTTAAATCTAGGAACCACATCTGCTTTCCTACAATCTTCTGGTGCAGTTCCTAAAAGAATCTTGAAAGATTAAACCGGTTTACTTATTGCCATGCTATCAGTGACTGTCACAACCCACCTCTGATCACATTAAGGTGTCATAACTTTTCATGCCATGCTGGTCTCACTGTGGATGGCCCTGCCTCCATGGCAGTGATTAAGTCAATACTTTCCAATATGAAAGAATTGGGAGGCTATTGCACATGCATAGCAATGTTCTGAGCCAATCAACCTCTCAATGGGGAACATTTTCTGAAAATGCAGTTTTTACATTGAAAAGCATACAGGGACAGGATATAGACACTAGAACCACTATATTAAGCTGTAATTGTCCTGGTGACTAGTGTCCCTTCAATATTAGCTAGTGTAGCTTTTCCTTGCTGTGACTTCTTGTTAATCTCTAACAACCAAAGATTAATGCAATGCAGAGTAGGCACTGGCCTGCCCAAAATGGCAGGCACCTACTGCTTTTGTATTGGGAGGACCTGGAGGGATCTGGAAAGAAGCTCTCTCCTGTCTTCCCATGAGCCAGCTGTGTGTAGCATTGCTGGGTGTTACCATGGCAATGATCCACACAGCATTGCACGTTAGGACAGGAGTGGTTTTCCAGACACATACTTACCACCACCTGACTACCAAGGCTGGTTGTGTCCCCTTCACCAAAGATTAGAAGGGGATCTAAAGATTTTATATATAGGACAGGATTAAAACACATTTGCTACCTGCAGAACCCGCCCACAACACTCTCCCCCGCACCACACAGCACTCCACACACGTACACAACACCACTCAATGCAGTGTGTGTATTCAGCAGTCTTTGTGTACTCGTACAATGTGACGGCAGATAAGAACCATTCGGTCCACCTAGTCTGCCCAATTATCTAAAGACTTTCATTAGTCCCTGGCCTTATCTTATAGTTAGGATAGCCTTATGCCTATCCCACGCATGCTTAAACTCCTTTACTGTGTTAACCTCTACCACTTCAGCTGGAAGGCTATTCCATGCATCCACTACCCCTCAGTAAAGGAATACTTCCTGATATTATTTTTAATCCTTTGTCCCTCTAAGACTGTCCTCTTGTATTTTTTCTTTTTAAATAGTCTCCTCCTGATTCCCTTTATTTTAACCCCTTAAGGACATGACATGTCATGATTCCCTTTTATTCCAGAAGTTTGGTCCTTAAATGTTTCTATCATATCCCCCCTGTCTCGTCTGTCTTCCAAGCTATACATGTTAAGTTCCTTTAACCTTTCCTTGTAACTTTTATCCTGCAATCCATGAACCAGTTTAGTAGCCCTTCTCTGAACTCTCTCTAAAGTATCAATATCCTTCTGGAGATATGGTCTCCAGTACTGCGTACAATACTCCAAGTGAGGTCTCCCCAGTGTTTTGTACAATGGCATGAGTACTTCCCTCTTTCTACTGCTAATACCTCTCTATACAACCAAGCATTCTGCTAGCATTTACTGCTGCTCTATTACATTGTCTGCCTACCTTTATGTCATCAGAAATAATCACCCCTAAATCCGTTTCCTCAGATGTTGAGATTAGGACTCTTTTAAATATTCTGTACTCTGCCTTTGGGTTTTTTTCGTCCAAGATGCATTATCTTGCACTTATCTACATTAAATGTCAGTTACATAGCTGAAAAGAGGCTTGCGTCCATCAAGTGCAGCCTTGCTGCCATAACTCTGACCATTTTTCTAGTTTACCTAAATCATTTGCCATTTGACTTCCCTCCTGGAACATCAACCCTGTTACATATCTAAGTATCACCACCAAAATGAGACACCTTACCATCAAGACCTTCTGCAATATCACGAATAAAAAATATTAAATAGAATGGGTCCAAGTACAGATCCCTGAGGTACCCCACTGGTGACAAGCCATGCTTTGAATAGACTCCATTTAGTACAACCCGCTGTTGCCTGTCACTCAGCCACTGCCTTACCCATTCAACAATATTGGAATCCAAACTTTAAAATTGCGGTTTATTGATAAGCTTTCTATGTGCAAAAGTGTCAAAAGCTTTACTGAAATCTAGGTAAGCAATGTCTACTGCACCACCCTGGTCTATTATTTAAGTTACCCAATCAAAAAATTCAATACGATTAGTTTGGCATGATCTCCCTGAAGTAAACCCATATTATCTCTGATCTTGAAATCCATGTGATTTTAGATGTTCAAAAATCCTATTCTTTAACATGGTTTCCATTACTTTCCCCACTACTGAAGTAAGGCTTACTGGCCTATAGTTGCCCGACTCCTCCCTACTACCTTTTTGTGAATGGCCACAACATTCGCTAACTTCCAATCTTCTGGGACTACTACTGTTATCAATGATTGGTTTTAATAAATCGGTTGATGGTTTTGCTAGTACACCACTAAGCTCTTTTAATTACTTTGGGTGTATTCCATCAGGTCCCATTTGTCTTTACTTTTGACAGTTGAAATGGAACCTCTTCCTCTGTAAACTCACATGTAACAAACAACTCATTTGTCCTTTTCCATAACTAATGCCCTTTTCCTTCATTTTCATCTATAAATACTCATCAAAAATATTAATTGAGGCAGTCAGCTAGACCTTTACCCTCTTCTGCATACCTTCCTTCTTTTGTTTTTTTTATCTAACTGTAGCGGAGGCCTGGTATTCCCCAGGTTAACTCCACTAGAGCTCCCAGTGAGGCTCAGGAACAAGTAGTAAAAATACCATGAAGTAATAATTCCAGCAAGCAAGGTGATCCACGAATATCCCCATACAGATCCCAATGACTGGACGACACACAGCATCAGGAGCAGAACTGACTTTTAATGCACACAACTTGCCTTATAAAGCATTCTGCCATGCAAGGGAGGGGTTTGCAATAATTAGTACAGTAGCCAATCCTCCACGAGTTGCCACCCACACATCCCCTCCCCTTACTGTGACACATAATTCCCTCATGCAGGACCCAAATTCCCAGAGTTTCTGGATGTACCCTTAAACATAGGGGTACCCCTTTAAATGTTACATCCCCTGGTAGCCCTGATCTGGGTGAGACACATATCCAAAAATCACCCAGGTTGGACCAGGGGTTCGGGAAATTTATGGCACTGGGTTTACCAGCCGAAAAGGGCTCCATGTGTTTTGGCCCTGCGGTTGGTCACAGAAAAGGGAATGTAATACACGAATGACTTAGGAGAGCTAGGGAGGTTTCATGTAATTTCCCTTGTTCGTGGGATTCAAACTACCGAACGAGAAGCCGTTCGGTAGTTTGTATACGAAATGGCGGCAGTGTGGAGGTCTCAGCGGTGTTTGCCTAACCGAGTGTCCAATTTGGGTTCCAGACAGTCGACGGCAAAACCGCTGTTCAGGAGTTTAAAATGGCGGCGTAGCTTACTTCTCTGGGTAACAACTTGCGACTGATGCAAGCCACGGGATGTTCTCCGCCATCGGCCCCGACTTGACTCAGCACTGCCCCCAATCCAAACATAGAAGCGTCTGTGTGAACAAGAAAACGTTTAGTTGGATTGGGAGCTGCCAAGACAGGGGCATTGCTAAGAGCATTTTTCAGATGTTGGAATGCCTGCTCACACTCCAGGGTCCAGGTTACTTGGCGGGGAAGGTTCTTACGGGTCAGGTCAGTAAGGGTTTTGGCCAGGGCGCTATAATTGGGGACAAACTTCCTATAGTATCCTGCGGTTCCTAGAAATGCTAGCAGCTGAGTCTTAGTCCTAGGAGTGGGCCACTGGGCTACGGCCTCTACTTTGGCTGGTTCTGGTTTCTGTTTCCCACAGCCCACTCGATGGCCCAGATATTGTACCTCGCCCATTCCTATACTGCATTTGGCTGGTTTCAACGTCAGACTGGCCTAATCCTGTCTAGAACCGCTCCTATATGGGCCAAGTGCTCCTGCCAGGTATTGCTAAAGATGGCAATATCGTCTAGGTATGCACAGGTGTAGTCCTGGAACCCATCTAGGAGTCGGTCCACCATCCGCTGGAAGGTAGCCGGAGTGTTTTTCATCCCAAACGGCTTGACTTTAAAGTGGTACAGGCCGAATGGGGTGACAAAGGCTGACTTAGGAATGGCGTCCGGAGCCAAGGGAATCTGCCAATACCCCTTACACAGATCAATAGTAGTGAGGTATTGGCCTCTGGCCATCCGGTCTAGCAGTTCATCTATCCTAGGCATAGGATAAGCGTCTGATATGGTCTTTTTGTTCAACCTCCGGTAGTCCACGCAGAAGTGGGATGTACCGTCCCGCTTTGGTACGAGGACTACTGGAGAAGCCCGGGGGGGGGAGGGTAACCAGGTCTTAGGACCAGTCGTCCATATTATCATTGTTATGACAGAATATCATCCTTTGACATGGAATTACATGACAGTCGTATTGTACATTATGAGCAATAGACAGAACAAGGTTGAGCTTGCAGTTCACATTTTACAGCGTGTGTACCAAGCGGTATCGCCTTCCTGGTCTCGTTTTCATAGAGATTCTTTACCTTAATTTTTACATATAATTCGGGGAAGGGTACAGAAAGGGGAATTTGGGTATAAGTTTGGGTTCACAAAGTTCATATTTCTTGCTGACATTGTCTGTAGCTGTTAAGGTGCTTGGACTATGAAATAGTGGTGTTCCTTATTTTGCGTTCTAGTTGCTGCAGCTGTTTATAATTGTTATTGTTTGACTCTGTGTCTAGTGGGAGGGGGGTTCCAGGATGTAACTCCTGGGGGGGTGAACTATATTACATCGTGTAACAGGTTACAGTGTCTTCACTTACGTTATGTTTGGTTTGTGTTCCGTGTTATTGTGTTTGTGGTGCGTTTATTTTCCTATATAGTAGGTGGTGTGTGTTTGTGAGTCTCCATCCGGGGTGTGTTCAGGAGGGGGGGGGGTTGGTCAGGTCATGGGGCTGGTGTTTGAGTTCTGTTGGTGGACCCATAGATGTGTTGTGTCCCCTTTCCAGGCTTGAGTGTGCCTGAAGGTTGAGTTTTCCGGGGTTGGGTGGTGATAAGTCTGGGCTGGCTATAACCCTGTCTATGGTATTTGTGTATGCCCTGACATGGGCTGCTTTTGTAAGGTGGGATGTGTTGGACATTGTGTTTTTGTATAGGTCGAGTGCCTCCTGCTATGACTGGTGGTCTGCCTCTTTCAGTTCTATGGTGTGTGGCCGGTTTGGTTTGTTCCTGAGGCGTTGTTCGTGTCCGGGGTATTGTGGGGTTGCGTCTTATGTATTAGTTACACTTTTTGCCGTCTCTGTGATGGATGTGCTCTTGGGTCTGCTTGACGTTATGGTCTGGTCTGGGATGTGTTTGCACGGGTTCGAGCCTCGCTTTGTGTTGTTGGGTCGTTTGGTGTGTGGTGGTGTGGGTGTTGTCGGTTGGCATTGTTGCCATGGGTGGTGGAGGTGTCTTACGTCAGGGGTGTGGAGGGGATGCATATTTGGTGGGTGAGAGGGCTGGGTTTTACCTCTGTGTTGTTGCTCCTTGGGTGCTCCCTCCCACCTGGTCTGTCCCGCTTGATGGGGCGTTTGGTAGGGTTGGGAATTCGAAGATCCATGGCTCCCATATTTTGTCGAAATGTTTGGTGGTGTCGTGTACTAAGGCTGTCAGTTTATCCATTTGCATGGCTTCGTTAATTTTCTGTTGTATGACTGTGGTGGACGGGATGTCTGGGCTCACCCATTTCTCTGCGATCGCTCGCCTG